GTCAAAAATTCATTCACAAGGAAAAATACTCTGTTCAAAATTACCTTCAAATTTATCGGGAATAGATCTATCGTATCTTTCACTTATTCGATATTTTTGCGGCTTTGGATCGTCATCGAAAACGATTTTTGCAGACTGTTTCACACCATTATTGAAATCGATGCTTTCTTCATCCATAACCGGTTGAACAGCAACTCGAAGATATCCTCGAACATCTCCCCGCTCATTAACAATGGCCACTTTGTGTACAAGAGGCACAGGATACAATAAATTGCTCAAATATACAAATGATCGACCAACCATCCGGAACCATGGGAAGCGGTCATAAAATGGATCACCGCCTGTCAAACTTTCAACGTTGTAATCAGGAGATGTTGGACTGAGTTCGGCTTCATTATGGTACATTTCACGCATCAATTCAAGTCGTTGCCTGCATAAAGATTGATATTTATTCTGTTTATTTAAAAGAGTTTTATTATTTTTCCACATTTATAACAAAGTTTCGTCAAATTTATTTTCAATCATAAATATTAAAGGGGATCTTAGATAATAGTAAATTTGTAATTTGACTATTTATCAATAGATGGCGACACATAAAATAGCAACTTCGAAACAGATACGCATTTCCTATATGGACACTCGCCCAAATGTCGGACTATTTGTTTGAATTTTCAACTTCAATTTAATATTTAACACTTTTGATTTCATCTAAAAATATCATTCTATACACAATTCTATCCAGAATTTAATTGTGCTTCATTTCACAATTGTCAAAAGAAAGAAATTTCCAAAAATATATAATTATTTTCCATTTTTCCGTCGTAACATCGAAAATTCCAAATGTCGGATATTCGTCGTCCAATTCTCGGCTCCCAAATCTCGACATATTTAATGAATTTTCACTGCGAAACTTGAACAACTTTTAGTTTTGACAGCTCAGGAACGCTTTCTTCACATTGAGGAAAACAATACAAAATATCGAAGTTGAAATTATTGGATTGATATATTTTTGCTGCATATTTAATTTTATTTATTTTTTCACAATAAAATAGCATAAATATTTAAAAATATTACGTTATTTCAAATGCAAAGTGTTTCACTTGAAACTTCGGTGCTTGATGTGTCGGCAATTGGACGATTTATTCCGGAATAATATTACAGTGAAAAATGAAAAATAAATATAATTGTTTTCCTTTAATTTTCAATATTTCTGTTCAATAACTAAATCAAACTATCTACAATTCGCAGACATAGTTTAAATTTTGACGTAAAAAGGGATAAAAATGCCAAATTTTTTTGAACGTAATTTGTGAAAGCAATAATAGATTTTTGATTAAAATTTGGATTATAATAAAGAGATTTGATATTGATCTTTCATAATTTACTTTTAAAAAATGCAATTAAAATGAATTTTTAACTTTTAATTTCAATTCACCTCTCGGTATTCCGACATTTGGCAATGTACTGTATACACAATTCGATGCAGACTTTAATTGTGCTTCATTTCACATTTCTCAAAAGAAAGTATTTTCCAAAAATGTATTATTTTTTTCCATTTTTTCGTCGTAACATCGAAAATTCCAAATCTCGGATATCCATCGTCCAAATCTCGACTCCCTAATCTCGACACATTTCATAAATTTTCACTGCGAAACTTGTACAACTTTAAGTTTTGACAGTTAATGAACGCACTCTTTACATTGAGGTAAACAATACAAAATATTGGAGTTAAAATTATTAGATTGATATATTTTTGCTCCATATTTAATTTTATTTATTTTCCCATAGTAAAATGGCAAAAATATTTTAAAATATTGTGTTTTTTCACTGATTTGGTTTGAATTTCACAATGATCCCAAGAAAGTGGCATTAGAATACCGGCCTCGAGAATCAAAGCGAGACTTCTATTCACAACTTATTGAAATGTAACACCACCATACAAAATATGCTGACAGCCAGAAAAAATGTTTTTCACTTTCGACCGATTTTTTTCAGCAACGCGTGAATAAAATCTAAAACATTTATTTTTAAATGAAAGCAGGCTTTAATAGCAACAAATTATATTCACCTCAATCCTGGCATATGTAAAGTCATTTTAAAAAATCGAGATTCTCAAGTGTGAAAAAATGGTAACGGTATGTGCTGAAAACACAAACTTGACTGTACGACGACTCTCGTCTCCTATTTACAGCGGATTTGAATACAACAACAGTTTGATATTTTGTGTAGTCTTTTTTTAAAAAATAGGGTGTATCAGTGTGCCCTTCGTATCAATCTGCCCCCATTACCCCTAACATTTGTCACTTTCATTTGTCATGTAACATTTGTCACTTTTGTGTAACAAAAGTTTTCTCCTTCACTTTTCGAATCAAAAAACCCTAGCAAATTAAAATAATTCTTTCAAAAATTTTAGAGGGTCACACATTCTCTTGTGTTTATTTTGACTCGCCAAACTTTGACGACGCTTCTGCGCACCCATTACATTCGATAGCTACGTCTTTCAAAAGTATTAATTGGTTTAACTATTTTGATGACATTTTGTGAGCAAATTCGGTTAAACTACATGCGTCGTGTCAAATACATATGGACAATAACCTACTCTCTTTTAAGTCAAACTAAATATCTCAAAATACTATCCTTTATAATTTTTTAAATGTACATAAGACATACTCTTCTTTTGAAATATTTTCAGTTTAAAAATGACATACTTTTTCCAAATTGATAATCTTTCTATCGAGAAAGGATAACCATTTTTTTATCCTTGAGACAAAATGCTTCAGACATTTTTATTTTGAAAATGGCCCGAAAAACAGCTAATCTAGTTTTAAATGGATGTTTTCCAATCGTATTGGTAAAGAGTAAAAAAGTGCTTGTCTATTTTACCTTAGTTTTTCTAGTGACCAATAATGTGTGGCTCCATTTTTGGTGTCAGTGACCTCTACTGCAACAGATGTTTTTTGAGATGAAGCCAATTCGTTACAATCAAAATCCACTGAGGAGAGTACTCCAGTCAGGTCAGGGGGAAGTGGTGAGTAGAGGGTTTCTGTCAACAAAGTGAATTGGAATTGAACCCGCTTCTTTAACTCCACAGATATTGCATTTGCTTCCTTTAAAAATATTGCATTTCCCCACAAATCGTCACGTAAAGATGTAAATTGATGATATCTCCATTTACGGAAAGCCCATGCAGCTAAACTGGCATCTCGTGCTGTCCAGCACGATTCAAATAAAGGATTTACTGTGAAATTTAAAATCATATAAATAAGTCTAGAAAATTTAAATTCTGTATGTGCTCACCGAAAATGTCTTCTTCTTGATGAAAATCTTCTGGGCTATAGCTACTATACATAGACATCGTCATTGATTGTTCTTCCACTTGCTTTTGTAGTGCGTCAATTCGTGCCTCATAAGTCTAATGACAAAAATTTAATATTTAGGGCACTGTTAAGAATAAATTTGATTAAAATAAATAAAAAGTGTTCTTATAAGCGTGATGATATTCTATACAGGCATTATACTTATTGTCGAAAGGACACACACGCAATGGTGAAATAAATGGGGCCACAGTGAATATAAGCACATTGAATTAAAAAGTCCAGTATTTTGAATCCGACTTGTACGCAGAGTCTATAAAAGTGGAACACAGAGTTTTTTTTACATAGAATTGTTATTGTATTACAACAAATAAACTATGTAAAAACCCTGTGTTCCACTTTTATAGACCCTGCGTACAAGTCGGATTTTTATTCTGATCCATTCATTTCACGCCTGCTATAATGTTGAAAACAATAAATTTATCTCAGAAATCTACAAAAACAAAGACTAAAAAATGTCTATTGATTTTGTATGGAAATATTTTGTTTCAGGGACAGGGTTCAACGGGTAGATTAAGGGGTGAAACATTTATTGTATATATACTTTATTATGATCATTTTTTTACCTTTCTTTGCTCCTCAAATTCTTGGTCTGCTTGTAGTTTTTCTCTTTTGAATTGTTCCTCTAGCGCCATTAAACGTTTCTGCATTTCAGCTTTAAGATCAATTCCTTGTTTTTCTAGCAATTCACAATGAGCAAAATTCCAATCTACAGTTTCATTTCCACATTCTGGTATTTCATTTACGGTTTTTCCACGAATTTCACGAGCTTGTTCAGGGTGTGTAAATCGGAACACATGATTTTTCCCAAGTATAACACGAGATCCAGTTGTTAAAATTTCTGGTTCGACTAGTTTTCGTCCATTCAAATAAACAAGTGCATCTTTATGCGGTATTAAACTGACAATATCTGAACGATTTTCAAAGGTGCAATGTTCCTTGAGAATGTGGGAACCAGATAACTGTATATCTTGTGGAACATTAGCTTCTGAAGTTCCCAATCGTGTTAAGCCTGCAAAAACATTGATAAAAAAGTTTGCGTAATTCATAGAAATTGGTCAACTTATATAGCCAAGGTGTATCATAAATAACAACAATAAAGAGTTGACTGTTACAAAATCACGTTTTATCAGCAAAATGTCTAGAATGGAGTGAACAACTATTTACCGTTTTTCAGAGATCAACCGCATTATTATTGCCGTTTGTTTAATATTTTTAAAGAATATAAATAATTTTTAGCAAAAATTCATTTATTCTATGTTCTGTTTTGTATTATTCTGAATTCGCATATCAAAACAAAACCAGACGTGTTTTTCATATAGATTTGTTGTTGTAATTCATACAAACTACAACAAAAAATCTATGTGAAAAACGTCTTGTTTCGCTTTGATATGCAACCATTTAATGTGATGTTTTTATTCATTTGTATATTCGGAACATGGCATTGCGTCAGTAGTCCATACTAATAGTAAAAAGGGAAGAATTTCTGCAACGTTTGAATGTAAATAAAATATCTTACATCCGTAAGATGAACTATTCCGCACTGTGATCCACAACATACATTTCTTACATATCTTTTACCGTAAATATGAATTCATGAGAAATCTGAATCTGACATTAGTTTTGCGATACAAATAACATTCTGAAAGCTTGAAGAAATTTTAATACGATTGAGGTGTACTTGCACACAACATTTTCGTTTTCGAGCAAAAATCCAAAACTTTGTTCGGGAGGTACCCCTAAAGGCCCGTTGTCGCATGTAGCTGAAACTGAAACTGAAACCGAATTCGAAAATCAGTTTCGGTTTCACTTTTTTTCGGTCGCCGTTTTTTTGGGTATGTGCAACATGAAACAGAAACCGAATGTCAAATGACACGCCATTTTTGATATGTCAAGACAACTGTTGTGTGAAAAATAGAACATTTTGTTGTGAATACAAATTATAAATATGGAATATCGAGTTGCAAGTTATTTGTTTGAAGAAGATTTTCGCGCATTGGTTGCCATTCTTTTTTTGTTAAAAAAGAAGAGAAGAAGTCCACACAAATTATATCGGCTACGACATGAAGAAGGAGCTTTGAACATATTGGTTGACCGTCATTTGATAAATGATGAAATAAAGTTCAAAGAATATTTTCGTGTGAGTCCAGGACTTTTTTCGAAATTAGTCGACAATTTGAAGGAAGATCTTGATGGCATTCCAACAACTTGGGTACAAAAACCAATGACAGCGTTAAATATGCATTAAAATTTCTTCAAACTCCCAGAATGTTATTTTTGTGTCATAAAAATAACATGTGCAAAGTTTCAGCTCATTACGATATCATACAGGCATGGCTTCCATACAAAAATCCAAATTTTTTAAAAAATTTGTATGAAAAGTGTGTCGAAAATTATTTGTATCGCAAAACTAATATCACATTCGGTTTTCTCGTGCCAATACATATTTTCGAGTGTTTAAGAAAACATAAAATATCACTTTTGGAAGAGAAATTGAATTTTTCTCATGGGCATCACACCAGACATGACACTTCACTCTATCAACCAAAGTCGCTAAAAATCTAATGATTTCTATTCCTCGTGAAGTCTCTTCTTATCATCCTGTGAAGTCAGATTTTGAATTACTTTTCTCGTTTGGAAGTTATTGTGTTAACAAATTTATGCGTACAGGGTACAAGGTACGCACATACATTCGGACATCGAAAAAACGCTAGATTCGTGTTCCCTGGCCCCGAACACATCCAGAAAACACGTTTTTGAGGGTTGTCAATTTTTTGACCAATTCCAATACTTTACCATACACACAAGGTGTGCGCGGAAAAGTCAAATATATATCAAGTTTTTATTCACAGTACACAGAAAAATTATCTACCCACTATTTTCGTCCACATTTTCTTGCATACTTCCATTCACTGATGATACAAAAATTTCGAAAATTATCACATCAACAGATGACTGCATTAATTTCAAAATGACTAGGGGCTTAATTCAAAATTTTCAACGACTGAATTCTATAATAATATCTAAATTAACTGAATTTTTCTG